TTACAGAATGTGTGTAACAGTGTGTGTTACAGAATGTGTGTAACAGAGTGTGTGTTACAGAATGTAACAGTGTGTGTAACAGAGTGTTTGTTACAGAATGTGTGTAACAGAGTGTGTTACAGAATGTAACAGAGTGTGTGTAACAGAGTGTGTGTTACAGAATGTAACAGAGTGTGTGTAACACAATGTGTGTGTTTGTGTAACACAATGTGTATCACAAGTTGTTTTTTTCTGTCTTCCTGTGGACCTCCTGATCATTTATTTGAACCCATGAAAAAAACAAACTGTAGCCGGAGGTCTGGTCACATGTCTGAGAGACAAGACAGAGTAGAAGACGTCCACAGAGGACACTGATGGAGACAGGGGTCCACAGAGGACACTGATGGAGACAGGGGTCCACAGAGGACACTGATGGAGACAGGGGTCCTGAAGGACAGAGGACACTGATGGAGACAGGGGTCCACAGAGGACACTGATGGAGACAGGGGTCTCACCTGGTCCAGACTGAGGTCTCGTTTAGTCCGGCCCACCTGCACCATGACACTTCCTGCTGTAGCTCCTTCCAACATGGCCGACAGAAACCCTCCTGTCAGATCTGAGCAGTCCAGAACCCCTGACCCAGCAGAGTCCAGACTGCTCCAGGATCTGAGTGAACTGGACCCAGGTCCTCTGGAGGTTTTCCTGTCAGAACCAGTACCAGGAGTTCTGGTTCTGGTCCCCTCAGGTCTGGAGACTCAGTGAAACTCAGACCCTCAGGAGGTTCTGTCTGACTCCACCTTAAACCCATCATGGAGTCACAGCAGCGTTAAAGTCCTCATCAGAACCGGCGCCGCTCGCTCCGGGCCGGGCCCTAATGATGCTTAATGGGGCCTCCTGTGCTGGATCAGAACCTCAGGACCGGTTCCTAATGACACGCAGTGGGCTCGTTAGAGGACCTGGTTATTATTAGATACTTAGACTCATTAAGCTCCAAACGATTATTACACAGAACCAGAACCTGGACCCGGGTTCTGACTGAGACCAAATCACTTTTACACATTAAGTCCTGTTGATGACATCACAGCTGGACCGGTTCTGAAGAACCTTCCAAACAAAACCATGAAAACCAAGACCTCAGAGCCAGAACAAGGACTCGGTAAAACCTGGATGGGTTCTGACCCAGAACTGGACCCAGAACTGGACCCAGAACTGGACCCAGACGACAGAATCAGTTAAAATCATTTTATTTACACTCAGCAGAACCTTGGTCACAGAAAAGATTTAAAATCACTTTATTTACAGGATAAAACATCAGAACTGGACTCTGGACCGGGTCCAGGGTCCAGGGTCCAGAGGTCGGTCCTCAGTGGTCCAGGAAGTTAAAGATGCTCCTCTGGGAGTTCTGGGTCTCCCTGCAGATCCTCTTAGCTGCTGGACTCACCGCTCCAACCGGACCCCTCCTCTTCCTCACCTGAGGGGCACACCAGGACATGGATCAGAACCAGGAGGGTCTCCAGGACCCAGGACCCTGGTTCTGATAATTACAGATCAGCAGGTCCGATGTCTCAGTTTGAGGCTCAGGGACCACTGGTGGTCCAACAGCGCCCCCTGCTGCTGTGACCCGGTTTCATGAACCTGCAGAACCGGTCTAGTTCTGACGAGTCCAAACTGTGACCCACCTGGTTCTGAGCGCCGTCTGACCCACCACAGACCTTCTCCGGGGACAGAGTCTGGAACAGGAAGCCCCGGCTGCTCCGGGGGGCCAGGAGGTTCCCCTCTGAGACGGAGGCCAGTTTCTGCAGGACCGACTGAGGCTGGCTCAGCAGAGAACCCCTCCGGACCTGGAACAGAACCGGCACACTCAGACCGGACCTGGACTCAGCTGAACCCAAGACAAAGCAGTCCTGGAGTTCTGGGACTCACCTGCTGAGGCTGAGGCGGTTTCTGAAAGGGGTTCAGAGCTGAGGGGGTCTTCTGGTCCGGTGGTGGTCCTGCAGGTTCTGGACCTTTCCTCTGCAGGGTCCTGCTGGTCACCTTCATGGCCAGCTTCATGAACTGACTGTCCTCGTCTCCAAACCTCTCATCATCTGGATCTGGATCAGCTCCGGTCCTGGACCTCTGCTCAGACTGAGACCAGAACACGAGTCAGACCCTTACAGCTGCCGTAGAGACCCACAGGGACCCACAGAGACCCACAGGGACCCACAGAGACCCACAGGGACTCACAGAGACCCACAGGGACCCACAGAGACCCACAGAGACCCACAGGGACTCACAGAGACCCACAGGGACCCACATGGACTGCAGGGACCCACAAAGACCCACAGAGACCCACAGGGACTGCAGGGACCCACAGAGACCCACAGGGACTGCAGGGACCCACAGAGACCCACAGGGACTGCAGGGACCCACAGAGACCCACAGGGACCCACAGAGACCGCAGGGACCCACAGAGACCCACAGAGACCCACAGGGACCCACAGAGACCGCAGGGACCCACAGAGACCCACAGAGACCCACAAGGACTGCAGGGACCCACAGAGACCCACAGGGACTGCAGGGACCCACAGGGACCCACAGAGACCCACAGAGACCGCAGGGACCCACAGAGACCGCAGGGACCCACAGAGACCCACAGGGACCCACAGAGACCACAGACCTGCTCTCGGAGCCACTGCTCTCTCTCCAGTCTCTCTTTCCTCCTCTGGACCTCAGCTGGGTCCACATCCTCTTCCTCGCCCTCCTCCTCTCCTTCTGGTCCGGTCCGGTCCACGTTGAAGCCGTCGTCTGGAGGAGAGGAAACCGTTTCAACAGAGACCAGGATCAGGGTTCTTATGGTTCACTAAAACTAAAACTAATTCAAAACTAAAGTAAAACTGACTAAATAACAAACTGAAATAAATAAAAACTAAGAAAATAAATAAATAAATAATAAAAACTGAAGTTTTGGAAAAAAAAGTCATAATGAAATAAAACTAAAGTATTATAAGCTTGACCAGGACTCTGGACTGGTTTGGACCAGGACTCTGGACTGGTTTTAACCAGGACTCTGGACTGGTTCCTCAGCTCACCCATGTGTTTCCAGCGGAAGCGTCGAGCTCGACCCGGTCCGTCTGAGTGCAGGTCTCCATCAGCCAGGTAGCGCTCCTGGTACAGCCTCAGGCGCCGCTTGTCTTCGTCCAGAACCTGCTTCCTGTTCCGAGACAGAAGGACACGTTAGAACCTGGACCTGCAGGTCCACCTGGGTCAGGTGTTCCATCACTCACATGTGAATCCGGTTCACTTGGTTCTGCAGTTCTTCATCAGAGGGGAGGTCCTCCAGGAGCTCCTCTTCCTCGTACTCACTCCCCCCGCCACCATCCTCATCATCACTGCCCACATCACTGCCAGAGAGCTCCGCCTCCGAGTCCACGTAGTCCAGCAGAGTCCTGCAGGACCAACCAGACTCTGTTAGGGGGTCCAGGACTCAGTTAGGGGGAGTCCAGGACTCAGTTAGGGGGGTCCAGGACTCAGTTAGGGGGGTCCAGGACTCAGTTAGGGGGGTCCAGGACTCAGTTAGGGGGGTCCAGGACTCAGTTAGGGGGTCCAGGACTCAGTTAGGGGGTCCAGGACTCAGAGGGTTTTGATGTTAAACTGAAATGTTTTTCTTACATTTTCTTCTTGACTTGAGGAGCAAAAACAGCCTCCATCTCCTCCTCCTCCACATCATTGTTCTCCTCCTGCTCCTCCTCCTCCTGCTGCTCCTCCTCCTCCTGCTGCTCCTCCTCCTCCTCCTCCTCCTCCTCCTGACAGAAAGATCCAGGTTTAGTGTTTGAAACATCTCAAAGTGTCTCTAAACCTGAAGAAACTGATGTTTTTTACCTGCTCACTTCCAATGTCTGACAGAAGGTGGAACTCACAGTCCTCCTCCTCCTGCTGCTCCTCCTCCTGCTGCTGCTCCTCCTCCTGCTCCTCAGTTCTGTAAAACACCAGGAGGTGAAAACCTGGACCGTGTCTTTAACCCGGAGCAGGTCCATGTCTGATGTTTGACTTTACCTTGGTCCAGCTGCTGCAGCACCTGAAACCAGAACAAGAACATCCATTAGAACTGGACCAGAACCCAGAAGGTCCTGACCCGGTCCAGTCTACTTCCTGGTAAATTAGTTTTAAAGATGTGCAGACAGATCCATGTCCACGGGGACAAAAGGACACCCTGGTGTCTCACCTGGACTGGAGAACTTTCCCAGCAGCTGGTCCATGGTGTTCTCAGCTCCTTCCTCCGGACCCTGACCCCCCACCTCCTCCTCCTCCTCCTCCTCCTTGGTCTGCGTCGGAGGAAACGCTCCTGAACACAACCCGAGTAGCTCTTCCTCCTGAGATGCTGCGAGGCCGCCGCCCCCTCCCGTCCCGAAGCCCCCCGAGCACAGCCCCAGCAGCTCCCCCATGTTGGCGTCCATGGCGTTCTCGTCCAGGCTGTCCAGGACCAGCTGTCTCTTGTGGGAGGGGGGCGCTCCGGGCCGAGGACCCACGTTCAGGAACCCGTCTGCGTCCAGGAGCTGCGAGTGGGCGTCGTCCTCCAGGGAGAACCGCCCCTGGGAGTCCCCGCCCAGTCCGGGACCAGAGGCTGCTTCTTCCAGGGGTCCTGAGTCAGCTCCGGGGGACGGAGGAGCGTACAGGTCCTGGGAGTCCTCCACGGGGAGACACAGGGACCGCTCCGAGAGACGTCCTGAACTCTGCAGGTGACAACAGGTTGTTTACAGGAAGTTCCTCCTCTAAAGGTTCATGTCCCAACAGGTCCAGGTGACTCACCTTGGAGGCGGAGCCAAGGAAGCTGGGCCTGAAGAAGCATGGTGAAGGTGAGCGGAAGGCAGAGAAGTTGGACACGCCCCTTCCTGTGGAGCGCTGGTTGTTGATAGGCTGGTAGGAGGTGATCATGGACCCAACCAGCTCAAAGCTGTTGTCCTTCATCAGGGACAGGGAGTCTTCCTCCTCTGGAGACAATCAGAGTCACAAAGACCTGAGGGTCCACCAGAACCAGAACCCCTCTAATCTGACCTTCACTCACCTGTCTTACTGCTGCCGTCCAGTCCAGGTGGTCCGGACTTCCTCACGCCGTCCCTGAAACACAGGACACCTTCAGAGAATGAGTTAATGCTGAGTCAGCGTGTCTTCAGAACAAGTTATTAATGCTGAGTCAGCGTGTCTTCAGAACAAGTTATTAATGCTGAGTCAGCGTGTCTTCAGTGAACGAGTTATTAATGCTGAGTCAGCGTGTCTTCAGTGAACGAGTTATTAATGCTGAGTCAGCGTGTCTTCAGTGAACGAGTTATTAATGCTGAGTCAGCGTGTCTTCAGAGAATGAGTTAATGCCG